CAAGACAATCCACACTGGACTTTAGCCGTCCAAATACAAGGTAAGGGTGTTGGTGTGGTGTAACCTGTGGACAGCATGTGTCTTGGGACCACTTTTCTCTGAAATAAGGTGTCTGTCAAGATGTTTTTCACCATATAAAGTGGCCAATTAATGCCTGTGGTTGACAGGTTAGGAGAGAGATGTCTGGAGTGGTTCCATCAAGCTGACATGTCACCCCAGTAAGGCAGAAGAGTGAGGGACGGTTGACATGGTTATGTAGAATATGCTTCATGCTGGCTGGATTTGAAGTCCCTTGATTACTTCCTCTGGGGTTTATTAAATCAGTGAGGACTGGAGACCAGATTATCTGAGGCCATGCAGCATTGAAAAAAATGCAGGGAGTGACACAAATGATGTGCTGGTGCATCACCCTCATCTCCAGCTGGCATTGGTAGCAAGGGACAGGACATTGCAACATGCCGTGTAGTGAAATGTAGTATCAAAAAATTATGGCCACCTCGCACAGTTCTATTTCTTCACCTATAAAAGATGGGATAACCATTATATTCTTTTAAGAAGGTATTTGGAAGGATTAAATGAGATTAAAAACATATAAAATGATGTGTATTTTAAATGTTTTATCTGCATCAACCAGATTTACAGCGTTGATTTACAATTACTGTTTTATATTTGCTCTTACTGTGCTCTCTCGGTATCTTACTTCCCGGGCTTTTCCACCATGAACTCCACCTTCAGGTGATTGTACTTAAAGAAATACATAGGGTGCCATATTTTCCCAACCTCTGTGTGTGGGGAAAGGTCTTTAATTCTCAACAGGAAGATACTGTTGTAAACGCGGTCACAATACGGTCACAAGGTGGCATCTTCCTCCTATCAGCACTGTCTGCTGCTATGATTCACTGACGCTGTGTTACAGATTTCAAAACCAAACAAACCAAAACACAACAACCAGCATGCATGGAAACAGGCATTTTTTCCACCTCTGTTCCCAATGCTGGACTTGATTCTGTTATCTCAGGAGGATCCAGCCAGCACCACTCTCTGCTCTCTTCCTCAGCCCGTCTTCCATCCTCCCCAGGGGCACACACATCTTACCTTTTCAGAGGACCTGCTTTCAGGTCCAAAGAGGGGTTCAGCAAAGGGAGGGGTAAACGTGGCTGTTCTCAACTCAAAAACAGGTCCCAATGGGTATACAGGATTAGGGTTCTATTTCTGGTTGATTAGACCATGGGACTCTGATCCAGGGTAGAGTTGGTGAGAAGAACATATGTACCCCACTTTCCCTACTCTAGCAACACACATTTTTTCCCAGAAGTTTATATTTCATGAGATGCAGCTAGGATAGTTCCTTCCTTCCTTCCTTCCTCCCTCCCTCCCTCCCTCCCTCCTTTTTCTTTCTTTCTTTCTTTCTTTCTTTCTTTCTTTCTTTCTTTCTTTCTTTCTTTCTTTCTGCAATTCAGCTCCATAGTTATTTGGTACCTTTCAGTTGCTTCTCAATCTTAGATTTTCGTCTCAAGAGTTTTTATCAACCTCTGTGCCTATCATTGTGGTATAGGCCAGGCTTACTCAACCTCACCACTGTTGGCATGGGGGAGGGGCTGGATGATTCTTTGTTGTAGGGGCTGTCCAGTGCCCTGTGGGATGTTTAGCTGCACCCTACAATGCACTGGACAGATGCCAGCAGCTCTGCACTCCCTCCAAAAGTCTCCAGACATTGCCCAGTGATCCTGGGGTTGAGGCATGCAAAATCCCCCAGTGAGAACCAGAGCCTGAGACCAGATAGTACAAGGAACAACAAAGCACTTGAGAGCAATGGCAAGACTTGGAGCAGCCGTCTTAATGATGCCCAGACAAGACTTCTCTGAGGGTGAAATGTCCCTACTATCTTACCATGAGACAAGTACCATAGGCCTGAGTATTCAGCCCATGGAAAGAACATGATGCCAGAGTATGCTAGCCTTCTGCTTTACTCTGTAGCAAGTACCAGAAGCATCTGGAGGGCTTTGAATGTGCCTAGGCCTGTGGCAGATATCTCAAAATGCAGTTACTGTAATTACTTTGAAAATAAGGCATTTACAGAAATGATTGCTAGATGATGTTATTGAATGCAATCAAAAAGATGTACATGTATGATTACTGTATGACAGATGTTCTTAAAAATATTTTGAAAACTATCTTTGAATATAATTGGGTCTTGTTTGCCAAGTCAGACAAAGATTCCATGAAGGGCTGTGATGGAAAATGTAAAAAAAAAAAAAAAAAAAAAAAAAGAATTTACTCCCTACAGTTGCTCAATTGCACACTTTTGCTAGAATTGGGTACTGCTATGTCATGCCAAAGTCATATGTCTATTAGCAGGAATTGGGTAACTTACCATCCCAAACTAAAGATTAGAAAGTCCTCGCAGAAACAGATTTATAATTCATTCCTGTGAGAGCCTTCTAAATTTTAGGGGAGGCTTAATTCCAGAGTTTTGTCTCTACTTTGCTTTTCAAACTGTGTCTCCATTTCTTTGGTGAGCCAATATGGTAATTATCTGTGCTGTTCACCAAGTAGTTATAGTTTTCTGCTTTCTGAAAATCTGGTAGGATTGTACTTCCCTAGTGCCTTTGGAGTTAGACATGGTCGTGTGAATTGCTTTGGAGAGTGAAATGGAGCAGAAGTGGTGCGTGTCACCTTTGGGGGACAAATTTCAAAGCCAGCGTGGACCTCACTATGTCCTCTTTACTTTGCCACAGCACGAACAAAGCCATGTACTGAGAGGAGAGCCTCCACGGCTACAGGTTTGAGTGTATTCATCAGGATTAAGTTCAGCTGAATACAATATAAAAATTCAACATAAAAGGATAAACAATCGGGGATGAGTATGGTGGTTCTACTCTAGGAAATCTACAGGTACCAGGCTTTGCCTATCTCTAGGATGGGACCATCATTTTTACAGTCCAAGATGACTGCTAGAATTTAGATACCATATTTATGTTCTAGACAGAAAGACAAAATTCAAGATGAAAGTAAGAGACAGATAAAAGACAGCAGCTATTTTTTTTAAGTTTTCCAGAACCTGCCACATAAAATCAGCATTTTTATGTCATTGCTCAGAACCTAGTTAGATGGTCATATCCAGATGCAAGAGAGGCTGGCAAAGGTAGTCTTTATTCTAGAAAGCTTTGTACCCAACTAAAATTCAGGGGCTCTATTGCTATTCGAGAAGGGGAGACCCTAGGTGTGGGCTAGCTGACCAGGAGTCTTCATCACTGTGAGCACATGAACTGTGTTAGGACAATTATAATAGCCCATCCCTTCAACGACAGTGTTAAATTAAAGAATGGGTATCTGACCCATGCCTACTTCAGTGGTGACCTTCTTTAAGATGGTAGTGGTGGCGGCTTTTGTTAATTTATATTTAACTTGAGCTTATGGAGAAGAGTCTTTCTCAGGTCAAAAATCTGAAGAAGAGACTAAAGGTGGCACTCAAAGAGAAGCAGAAGTGGAAGAAAAATGGAATATCTAAGTAGTTCTTAATTTCCTTTTCTAAGTCTTTAAGAGACCAGCTCCACCCACTGCCTCTTCCCAGCTTAGTTATGTGAGCCAAAAAAATCCCTTCTTTTTTAAATTAGGAGCAATTGGGTGCCTATTGCTTGCAACCAGAGTTCCATTGTCTACCTCCCTGGGTTTTTGTAGGAACACAGGAGTTGGTGCTTATAGCAGTTGCCATGGTGCCTGGCATATCAAGGTCCTGAAATGTTAACTTTTAATGATGTGTTTTAAATAATACAGAGTAGATGAAAATTGGAAAAACCTTCTCTCTTTTTAGAGTTCCAGCTCGAAGGAGGTCTTGCTCGTTCTCCTGGAAGATTTAGCTCTTTCTCCTCATTACTCCATCTCCTCTGTTCTCGTAGTCATCCTACTACTTTGTAATTGTTTGCCAATCCATGTTCTTCTCTTATATTCTTTGAATTTCTAGAGCAGTGTTTTTCAACCTTTTTGATCTCACGGCACACTTGAACCTAAGTTAAACTTCCTCAGCACGCTTAAGTGATATGTTCATCCAAAAAAACAAAAAAGAGTAAAGAAAAGAATATACTTACTGTGATTTAAACCTCTTTTGAAAATAATTGAATTAATGATCATTAAAAATTCTGGCAGCACACCAGTTGAAAACCACTAGTTCTAGAGTCCTTGTTATCTAACATGCTGGACCATAATAGGTGCTCAATCAATAATGTGAGGAAAACGAGGACTTGGAAAACATTCATAATCAAAGATGGCGATAACAGAGACCAGCATTTGGTTACACGCTATGATCTAAGCATTGTCCTATGAACTTTATTTATTTATGATTTAATCCTTTTAATAAAACTTAAGGTGTTATTATTTATTACTTCATTTTATAAATGAACACACAAATGTCAAGGTCATACCTTGGTAGAGCCAAGATTTCATCTCAGACAAACTGATGTCAGAGCTCTGATATTTCAACCAATACACTGTGGTATCTCTCATCAGAGGTATTTCATTCCACATCAATGCTAAATCATTCACTACCAGAGACAGATGCAACTTAGAGATCGCTGAATTCCATTATGAAATAGATACAGAAACAGAGCCAAGGATTGGGAGTGATTCAAATTCAGGTGGTTATAGAATTGTACAGGTGTATCTATCTGTCCAGGGCTCCCGACTCTGAGCTGGAATCTTTTAATTAAGGGCCCCACCTGGTCTCGCTTTGGAATAACCACCTCTAAGTAGCCATTTGTTTTTCAAAGTAGATACATGCCAGTTACCATTCAAAGCCAGGTGGATCTCACCTGGTGAAATAGTGGGAAAAGATACCCATTCATTACTAGGATTTCAGCATCAACTTGTCGTCCTCAGAGAAGTTTTCCCTGGCCTCTCCAAGGTCAAGCTCTCCTTTATAGCACTTAGCGTGGCCACTCAAAATTACATGTTTTTTAAATTTCAGATTAATATGAGGGTATAAATGTTTAGGTTACATGGTTTTCATTTCTAGGGGAAAGTTTAAGTTGTAGTTGAGCCCTTCACCCAGAGATTTCTATATTATGTATTGTATGCAAATATCTAGTTCATGGTGGCCTCATTTGTTACCTGTAAGTTCTCTGAGAATAGGATCCACGTTCATTTTTGGTCCTCCTTATATTCTCGGTACCTGCACAGATTCTGGGCACATCATGGGTGCTGATATAATGTTAAATAAATGAACAAATGGATGGGTGAATAAATAAATGCATGAAAAGGCACCAGGACAAATCATCTCTGTGGAAAGCATAGGGTAGATGTAATCCCCCATACAGTGTGGGATTACACAGAGGGATTACCCCAAGGGAGCCCGCAAGGGTCTGCACACTCACACCCCTGATCAGAAATTCCCATCAGGAAAGTCACACAAACACCGACTTTCGGGAGGGCTTTGGAGCGCTGAAGGGGGGAAAAAGAAGCACAAAAGGTGAGCAAGCAGTTTTCAAAGGATGCTTTCAACTCCCTGGCCAGTCCGTGTGTGTGTTTTCCTCTACAAAGTGTTTCCAATTACTGTGGCACTCTCGGTATCTGGATCCATCTCCAGTGAATTCCTCTGCAGCTCCTGCCAGACATATGGGATCAATCAGGGCTTCGGCGCTGGTGCGCTTGCTGCGGGAATGTTGACAGCCTGACAGACGCGGGGTTCTGGTGTCATGGAATCTCCAAATCGTTGGCTTGAACCCGGGAGGAGAAGGAGAGGGGGAGGAGAGAGATAGAGGCAAAGATAGAGAAAGGAGAGGGGAGAGGGAGAGGCGGGAGAGAGGGAGCCAAGGAGGGAAGCGGGAGATTTTTCTTGACTGCCCCCTTTCCTTCAAACATTTTATAGGTTTCAGGGAGAGAAGAGGAGGAGGAGAGAGGGAAGAAAAAACAGGAGAGCCAGAGGGGTAGAGAGCGCGCGCCGGTCGCTCCCGAGCGCCCGAGCCGCCGGAGGAGTCTGGATTGTGTCCCCAGTGTCAGATAAAGGGCGCTGAGCTCGCCCGCGGCCGCCGCCCCGCCGCCCGCTCCGCGCACGCCCCTCCGCGAGCCCGGCCGCCGGGCGCCCGTCCCCGCCCGGGCCGCCGCCTGCGCTCCGGGGCGGCCGCTCCGTCGCCGGCGCAATGTGGCCGCGCCTGGCCTTTTGTTGCTGGGGTCTGGCGCTCGTTTCGGGCTGGGCGACCTTTCAGCAGATGTCCCCGTCGCGCAATTTCAGCTTCCGCTTCTTTCCCGAGGCGGCGCCCAGGGCCCCGGGGCGGCTGCCCGCGCTGGCCGACCTGCCGGAGCCGGGCGAGGACGCGACGGAGAGCAAAGTGGAGCGGCTGGGGCAGGCGTTCCGGCGCCGCGTGCGGCGGCTGCGGGAGCTCAGCGAGCGCCTGGAGCTCGTCTTCCTGGTGGACGAGTCGTCCAGCGTGGGCCAAGCCAACTTCCTCAGCGAGCTCAAGTTCGTCCGCAAGCTGCTGTCCGACTTCCCCGTGGTGCCCACCGCCACGCGCGTGGCCATCGTGACATTCTCGTCCAAGAACAACGTGGTGCCGCGCGTCGATTACATCTCCTCCCGCCGCGCGCACCAGCACAAGTGCGCGCTGCTCAGCCGGGAGATCCCGGCCATCACCTACCGCGGTGGCGGCACCTACACCAAGGGCGCCTTCCAGCAAGCAGCGGTAAGGCGCCCGCCCCTCCGCCCGGCCCGCGCCCCAGGCCCTTCCCACCCTCTGCTCTGCCCGTCTCTAACCCTGGGGTCAGCCGTGGTCGGGGCATGACTCCCTAAGTCAGGCGTCCCTATCCGCAAAATCCTTGTACTGTTGTGGGGGTCCAGTGCGATGATGGATTTTAAATGCTTAGCGACTTGTCCGGCTCCTTGAATGGTCCCCTTTAAGGACCCTGTTAGAAAGGGATCCTTAAGATGCCATCCAGAGCCACATTTGTAGGAACAGACGCCACCCAACCTGTCACAGGTGAGTAGGATATACAAAGTCCTCATAAAGCTAGGATGTGGAGTGATCTGAATATTTCCCTGGTTTTTTAGAAGTTATTTTATGCCTCCAATGCAAGGTTCATGTCCTTCCTCTTTGGCTCCAAGTCTTTTTATTAGATTTTTAGCATCTGGAAGATGAAGTCAGTTTTGGATGATGGACTTGTGAAAAATGTATCTCTTTTTCTGATTTCAAAGTAATTAGAGAATTCGAAACATATAGAAATATCTGACGTAATGGCAAGCAGTGTCTGTGGAATGAATGAAACAAAAAGGAGGGGGGAAAAGAACCTCTACTCCCATCACCTTTTAAAAAAAAACCCTGTTTGAGTGGCGCCTGTGGCTCAAAGGAGTAGGGCACCGGCCCCATATAACAGAGGTGGCGGGTTCAAACCCGGCCCTGGCCAAAAACTGCAAAAACAAACCAACAACCCCCCCCCTCCCCGTTTGCGTGTTGTTGAACGTTTGCCAAGCATGCACATTTATACATACTTTTAACCAAATTGGTGTCTTGCTGGCCTGTGGTCTGTATTTTTCATTTATTATATCATGATTGACATGTTCTACGTTAGCTGGATACTATTCCGTTGTATGCAAGTGTCATAATTTATTTTAATAACGTCTGTGGGTGGACACTTAGGTTTTTTCATAACTAAGTTATAGTGAATACCGATATTTGTGGATCCCTCTAATTACTTCCTTAAGAAGATTTCTGTAACAGTTTCCCATTTAAAGGATAGGAACATTTATAAACTTCACAACATACATTGTCCTCATTTCCCTTAGACGGTTGGATAAATTTATATTCCCATCAGCAGTCATCTTAGCAGTAAGTTTGCCACAAGATCAACAATATCACATGTAATTATTTTCTTTAAATCACTGACAATTTGGTAGTCAATAGAGGTATCACTTTAGTAAACTTGAGTTTTCGATTGTCAAGAATGGACATTTTCAAATACATTTACTGGGAATTTGTATTTTTGTCCTTTGGTTATACCTGGACATAATTTCTACCCATTTGCCATTGTAGTGCATGTTTGTTTGCTTTTTCTTAATGATTTCTGAAAGCTCTTTACATAGCAAGGCCAGCAATTCTTTTCTGTATGTGCTGGAAATGTTTTTCTACTTCACTGTCTTTTATTTTTGTTTATGGAAGTGCTGTTAGATAAATGCTTCATATTTTTATATACTTAAACTTAAATCTATTAAATATTGTCCTTAAGGTATTTGCTTGTAGCCTTAAACTGGCCTTCTCATATCCCAAATCAGAGAAATTGTTTTACATCAAACAGTTTAATGCATCAGAAACTTATTTTTGTGTACAATCTGAGAGAGACGTCTAATTTTATTTTTTTAAGGAGCTAACCAGTTGTATCAACATTTGTTTAATAGCCATCTGTCCTTTTCCAATTTAATTGCATGCCACTTTTATCATATCCTAAATGCTTCTGGGCATTTGGTTTCCTCTTGGTTGTCTATTTCATTCCATAATCTACCGTATTTGTAATCTGTGCCCAAATGATTTAACTATTGTAACTTTGCTACATATTTAAATATCTGGGAGTGCAAATTCTATCATCTTTTTTCTTACCTATTTTTCTTCTAATTAATTCTTACCCACTTATTATTTCATATGATTTTCAAATCTATTTTCACTCATCACCAATGAAATCAGTAAGGATTTTTATCTTAATACAGAAAATAGTATCGTAACTAGGAGATTGTTTATACTTTTGTAATAATAATTCTTCCAATTTAAAAATATAAGTTCAGGGGCAGCACCTGTGGCTCAAAGGAGGAGGGCGCCAGCCTCATATGCCAGAGGTGGTGGGTTCAAACCCAGCCTTGGCCAAAAACTGCAAAAATAAAAATAAAAATAAAAATAAATATATATATGTATAAGTTCATTTATACATATCCTTTAGTAAAGTTACAGATTTTTAGAAATAAAGTCCTGTATATAATTTTTAAATTTAGACCTGAATATATTCTATTCAATACTACTACTATGAATGGCATATTTTAAAATTAAATTTTATTTTATTTTATTATTATTATTTTTTTTTTGAGACAGAGCCTCAAGCTGTTCCCCTGGGTAGAGTGCCGTGGCATAGCTCATAGCAACCTCCAACTCCTGGGCTCAAGAGAGTCTCCTGCCTCAACCTCCCAAGTTGCTGGGACCACAGGCGCCCACCACAACACCTGGCTATTTTTTTTCGGTTGCAGTCATCATTGGTGTTTGGCGGGCCCAGGCTGGATTCAAACCTGCCACCTTAGGTGTATGTGGCTGGTGCCTTAGCCACGTGAGCCACAGGCGCCGAGCCTAAAATTAAATTTCAAACAATTATTTTCGATGTATAGAAATATTATTCATTTTTAAAAATATGTCTTCCATATCTGGATTCTTGGTGGAATCTCTGTAGTTTATCTTTTTTTCTTTTCTCTTTTTAAACACGTTTTATTTTAGTGATAATAAATGTTTATTATAGAAAATAAAATAATCAGAAAAAATTTTGTAAATACACTGTAATATTTAGATACACACCTTTCCTGACCTTTTTGCAGTCTTCTAGGTAACAGATGTAGCTTCTTACATGAACATATATCTTCCCTAAATCAAAAGTATCCCATTGTACATTCTCTTATAATCTGCCTATTCCACCATATTGCCAGCCTTCTTTCCATAATAAGAAATGCACTTCTCTTTTATCATTTTTTATGGTCACATGGTTTTCCACTATAGAGTGTTTTTATTTTTTATTGTCTAATTACGGATTACTGTGTATTTAGGCTGTTGTGAAAAACATTGTGTAACTCAATCTTTGCTCATCTCTCCAATCATTTCCCCAGCATAAATTCTCAAAGTGGCATTACTGCATCAAAGAGTATGCACATTTTTTTGAAAGCAGCTGATACACGTGCCAGCTTGCTCTGCAGACAGTGGTACCAAATCACACTCCACACACAGTGCCTGTTCTAGGACTTATCAGTACAGGGTAATATCATTTCAATATTCTGACCCCCAACTTTAGAAGTAGTTTGTGGAGTCCCATTTTAAATTGTATTTTCCTGTTAGTGAGGCTGAACATTTAAAAAATATATTATTGGCCATCTCTCTCTCTTTTTTTGAATACTCATTAAAATATTTTGGGATTATTATCCGTTTTTAATTTAAACCTGGTTCTCTTTCTTATTGATTTGCAAATACTCTTTAAAACTTAATGTTATTAACCCTCAGCTGCCAAGTATTTGGCAAATATTTTTTTCTCAGCGTTTCACTTGCCTTTTAATTGTGTTTCGGGGTATAGCATCTATTGTTTTATCAATTAGATCTGTCCTTTTTTCACTTGTGCTTTTTTCATGGCTATGGAGTATTAAAGGGTTTTGTCTTTAAGACATAAAGTAGCTACTCAAAGATGCTGTGTATTGGTTGGGGAAGTTGTACCATGTAGGGTTCAGTTTTGCAGACTCAGTGCCCTGTTGAATTGGGTCTCCGCTCCGAGTACTCTCATGCAATCTTCATGGCTAGTTCTTTTCCTTAAAGCCACGGGCCACTCCGTCAAAGAAGAACCCTGCTGCATAAGGAGGAAACTTGCCATATACCAACTCCTCTGTTTGATTTGGCCAGGTTGCCTGGGGCCTCTGAGAATGTTGACCCAAAACAGTAAAACGGGTAATGAGTCGAGTACACAGTGCTTGCCTCAAGACCCACTTCAGCTTTCCCCTTCCAAATACTACATCCTGTCTTGGAAAGTGGAATTGCCAACAAGGTTTCCAGCCTGGATGCATTTGTAATCTAACAAGCAGAGGTTTCTCAAAAGTTTGTGTTAACTGAACTTCCCCTTGACTTTATTTTTCTTTTCTCATTTGAGTTGGGTTATGAGAAAGTGCAAAAGAGGGTCAGCTGGAGCCAGACCCTGTCTAACCTGAAACCTACATGTCTTTATTGTAACTTGTCCAAGCCTCTGATGAGCATTCCTAGGTATAATTAAAATATAATATTTGGAGAAAATTTCTAGAAGATAGCCCATGTTTAGAAGTGGTGTTAGTGGAGGCTTGATTATGAATTTTTGCATAACGATCAGGCAGAAGTGTTTGGTTACAGAATTCGTTTGAAAATAGTAAGCTGTGTTGTTTGAGCTTTATCTGAGACATACAATTCATCCTGGAAATAAGATCTTTCATCAGGTTCCCTCATGTGGGCAGAATGGTAATGTTAGAACTGACTGTGACCTGGCCTTCGTGTGAAATTGAAAATCACAGGGACATTTTGGCAGACTATTAATTACTTTCCCCAGAAAAATTAGATTTTTAAATCTTCCATTTGAAACTGAAGGCCCACACAACTACAGGCTGACACAATCGTAGGCAGACAGACAAACATACACAGTACGTGGATACACCCTCAGAAGCACACAGCCCTCACGATTCAGACGTCTTGTTCCTCTTACAAGAAATCTTGAAATACAGAATTTCCTTTACCAATATGAAATGTGCTGGAATCTCTCAGCACCTATGATTGATTGATTAATCATAGTTATTAAAGAATAACTATGACTGTGTCACCGCACTGCACATATGATTGATTAAACAAAAAAGAATAACAATGATTGTGTCACCGCACTCCAGCCTGGGTGACAGAGCAAAAAGAGAAAAGATGACAATGTACAACTTGGGTGGATACTC